TAACTCCACTATTTGTTTCTCGAGCGATCGCAATGTGTGTGAAATGCAGGTCAGGTGAGTCATCCTCTCAAACCTGACTGTGCTGTCTGTTTTTTACACCTTGAGTGGAAAAATACACCGAGTGTGTGTGTGTTTGCACAGACACACACAGGCTGATTCATAGTTTTATGACTACCCTGGCAGCAAGAGAGCTGAGAGCTACAAGGACATGCAGGAGTCTGTATGTGAGCACACACATTTCCTCACCTTGATGAAACTGATGGTCACCTGGAGCATTTTTTAACTCAAATTCACTCCAGTTCCTCAGTAAGCGCGAGCAAGACTAGCACAAACAAAAGCCTAATAGCTGCCCTGAGCTATAAAAAGACAGCAGAGTTTAACCTGTCCTTGAAACTTCACAGATGATCAACGACACACACACACACACACACACACACACACACACACACACACACACACACACACACACACACACACACACACACCATATAACTCTCTGCAGAGTTTATGTTTAGAAGTGACAGCTCTTTCTGTCTGTCCTACATCCAGGCATATATGAAAACTATCTGATCCTTTATGTTTATTTGGGAGGTTTTAAACTTATCTGCAACTTTATGTCAAAAATAAAACTTTAAATATGTGCACAGTTATGCACCTCACCAGCTTCAAAGACGAAATTATGCCTTATTTACACAAGTTTGCATGTTTACACTGCAAAAACTCAAAACCTTACCAAATATTTTTGGTGTAGTTTCTAGTGCAAATAACTTAATGCATGAAATAACACAAAACTAACTCACAAGTAACTTTTCAGAAAGCTATACGAGTTTGTTTTAAGTCAATAATTCTTTAATATTGATGAAAAAGTACTAGTTTCATTGGTAGATTATTTAACAAAATATTTTATTATAAGCGAAATAATCTGCAAGGAATTTTCCCATATTTATCATCATCAACAAGAAATTATTTAAAATAAGCTACTATATCTTAATGAAAAGTTATTTGAGTTTTATTTCAAGAATACTGATATATTTGTACTAGAAACTTGACAAAAATACTTGTTTTTGCAGTGTAATAGATTGAAATAAGACAAACTAACATACAAGTATCTTTTAAGGAAAACGTAGGAGTTTCTCAATATTGATTTTAAATAAAGTGCTGGTTATAATGGCAGATTATTTCACTTATAATATGGGAAAATGTTTTATTGGAAGGGAAATAATTTGCCAATGGAACTAGAAATTTTTAACAATGTTAAGGTTTTATTGACGTAAATCAACCTCCTATATCTTTCTAAAAGTTTCCTATGAGTTAGTTTTGTCTTATTTAAAGTCTACTAAGATATTTGTGCTAGAAACTAGACTGAAATATTAGGTATGATTTTGTGTTTTTGTCTTTAAAACAAACCCTTTGCTAAACTACACTTTGCTAAACTACACTGAAAAAACAAAGCAGGTGTTTTTGTTTGGTTTCCAGTCCCATGATGACCTTCTAGCATTTTATCTTGTCGTCTTTATGATCAGATCTGTAGTTGTTTCACTTTGACGTTTTCTTTTGAGCCATGGATCATTTCTAAGTATTTCTAGGTTTCAACAGTCAGGAACAAACCAAACCAAACATTTAAGGCTTTAAACAGAACAAACCTCCTTTAAAATGCTGAGCAACAAAGTTCCTGTCACCTTTTTCTCCCTGGTTCTGGTTCTGTTGGTGCCAGAACAGCCTGTGTCCATCTGGTTTCTCCACTCTGAGCCCATGTGTTGTTTCTGCAGTGGAGCTGCACATCCACTCAGCTTTCTGCTTTTGTTGTTGTTTAGTTAGCTGCTTTCTCTCCTTTAGCCTCCAAACCTGGTTCTGTTCTTCTCATCTTCACTCATTTTCCTCCCATCGGTTCTGTTGTTGACCTGGTGGAATAATTTCACCGTTCCCTGATCTTCCGAAAACATTATTTTAACTACAAACAACTAAACCTTACCAAGTATTTTTGGTCTAGTTTTTAGGACATGAATGTATTGATCTTTCAGAGTCAGGAAAAATAGGAGGTGCAAACTTCTGCCAAGAAGTTTCAGCAATTTTTAGATTGATCCCAGAAATTTGTGTGAAAATTTCTGAGCTCCAAAAGTCGAAAATTGGCAAAAAAACATAGAAATTAATCTCTGTTTTTAATTTTTTAGAAACTCAAAAATTTCTAAGCTTTGAAAGTTGAAAATTTGCAAGAAAAAACATGAAATATTTTGATTAATCTGTGAAATTTTCAAGAAACATTTTTGAGTTTTCACATTTGTGACTTTTTGAGCATTGAAATTTTCAAGTTTTTGAGACTAATCTCCAAATTTCTGAATTTTTTGGCAGAAAAAAACAAGATATTTGTCAAATTTAGTGTATAACTAAATTTGTACACTTAAAACAAGACAAAACAAACTTACAAGTAACTTTTCAGCAAAACAACGAAGCTTGTTTTTAACTCAGTAATGCCGTAATATTGATGAAAAATTATTAGTTCAACTCCTAATAATATATTTTGCCCATGTTAATGAAATAATCAGCCAGTAGCACATTTTCATCAATATTACATATTTATTGACCTTAAACAACCTATATATCAAGCGGTCTAAGGTATTTGCACTAGAAAAATACTTGGTAAGATTTTGTGTTTTTGCAGTGAATTTGCATTAGCTTGTCACACATAAATAATAAAATGCAATTGTGATTGCATTTATACGTAAACAAAACGTTTTAATCATAATAACCTCTATTTCTCTGACATTAAACAGAAATAGTTTCGGTTGTGTTTATTAGAGCTCAGGGTGTTATGACAAGCCGCCCTTGACCACAATGCTCTACTCTGCTATAATTAGAGTGTTTCTTATCTAGTGCGCGTTATAGAAGAAGCGGGGAAGCAAAGAGGATCAAAAACATCAGTAAATTGTTGTGATGGCAGGAGAAAATTAAATAAAAGAGAAAATATGGACAATGGTTAAGCTGGAGTTTAAATCCAACTGGTGGTCACCATGTTTTTGATTGAAAATGTTTAAAGTTAACAGGAAATTTGAAAATGTGACTTAATTATATTAGATGACTTTATTAACAAAACACTAAGGTACCCAAAATATTTACTCAAGTAAGAGTAGCAGTACTTTAGTATATTTGTACTAACGTAAAAGTAAAAAGTACTCATCCAAAATATTACTGAAATAAGAGTAAAAAAATAATTTGGTAAAAAGTCGACTGAAGTACTGAGTAACTAATGAAATTATCAATAATTTAATATTTAAAAATTACATCATCAGATGGACCAAAAAGTAAAGTTTTAATTGTATATTTTGGTATTTTAATGACAATAATTCATATAAGTAACAAAAAATGTTTCCAAATCAGTTTTGATCAATAAAAACTGATGAAACTTTAACACAAACTGCAGGTGTGTGTGTGTGTGTGTGGGTGTGTGCGTGTCTGGTGAGTGTTTGGTTAAAACGTGTTTCATTTAGTGGGTAGAAAATCCAGAAGTAAAAATACTCGTCATATTCTGCATGTTGGCCTTGCGTAACGTTGTTCACTGAAAAAAGTGTAACTGCTTTCCATATTTCCTATCAAAGTTTGAGCAGAGAAACAAATAAAGAGCTAAATCAGGTCAATTTTGCCAGATAACATATGAACAGCCATTATAAATCGGCAGCAAAGAACCTGATTGGAGCATCCCTACTGAAAATGTAATTTTTCTTCCTCCTCAAAACCCAGAAAAACTCGTCAAAACTTGAAACACAGTGACTTTAAACGACGGTATCTTTAAAAACATGCAGTGTATCCCGTGTGTGTTCCCCTCCATGACAGGATATGACCGATATGGAAAGACTGTCGGCTCCTGCATATGCACAGATCGGTCGGGTTGCCTCTGCGATCAGATGTAAATGTCACTTCACACCTGGTCATTTTTCCCATGGAGAATCTAAAAAAGATGGAGTGTGTCTTCTTTTTTATCCAGACATTTTGGTGTTTTTATCGTTTGCAGGCTGATATGCATCCACCAGAGCATCAGCTTGGATGTTTACAGTCAGTTTACAGAAATTTATGTTTTTATTGATGCAGTCATGTTGGTTTGTGTGGGAAGATTTAATCAGACTGAAGTTATAAATTGCATAAATTGCACAAACTCTGACAAATAGAAATTATTTAAGCAAGACTATATAGCACCTTTCAGCCAAAGACAATTCAAAGTGCTTGTACAAGAAAATTAAGGACTACATACAGTAAGAAGATAGTAAAAAAAATTAATAATCAGCCTTTTTTAATTTCATCTAGTCAAAAGTATTACACAATGAAGCAGGAACTCACATTTTTAGTGCGGTAATGAGTATGCATTAATATTTATTTTAAAGCTAAAGTATGTAACTTTTATTAAAAAATGTTTCTTTTTACATATTTGTTAAAACTGTCACCACGTTGCTAAAGCATATAAAAATCAAGTCCTTCCATGTTCTTTCTGAGCAACTGTTGCACACCTCAAAAACAACCAATCAGAGCCAGGAGGAGGGGCTTAGCACTGTAAATAAGGCTCATGTATGTGCAGCTAAATGTGCTAAAGGCAGAGAAACAACTTACAGAAAATGCTCTGTACACTTACAGATCATGGTCACTGTCATTGGTAGCATTCCTGGGGAGGATGTGAACAGCATGTACCAGAGGATGATTGACAGTGCTAAGACCCTCCTCCCTGTTCTGCTTGGTTGCTTGTGATCACACTGTATATTTCTTTCTCGACATAGTGACAGTTTTAAGTATTTTAAAAACATGTCTTTTTAGTAAAAGTTAAATATGGCAGCTTTGAAGACATCATAGTTTCTTTGTTGTGGTTGAGTAATCAAGTATCAGTGACCTGATTCTGATTAACCCCATCAGGTAGTTTGTGCATCTCCATTTTTCAAGGTAATTGTTGTGTTGGTCGGCTACATGATCCCGTGCCATCTTTTGACCCCAATTATGCAATTCTTGTTTTTTTCTGACAGTCGGGCCCAGCCACTCATCATGCATGACCCCTGGCTGCATATTAACAGCTGTGTGCCACGGTGCAGCTGCGGGCCGGCGCCACAGATGGAGCTGAATACTGGATGAGATGGTGGAGCTGCATCATGGAAGCCGCATGGACGAGGTTAGATCAGGTTAGGTTGGCGGTTCATGACCCCGGTTAGCAGTCACTCTCTGCCTGTGATTCATGTCCGCAAAAATCCATTCTGGTTTGTTACAAGCTGTGTTTTATTGTCTTCTGTTTTTATGATGTTCAAATGGATTTAGAGTTTGTTTGCAGACATTTCCGTGGAAAAAGAAAGTCAAAATATGAAGTTCACAATTTACTGGTCCACCTGGTATCTTCCAACGTTATTGTCCTTTAATAGCTTCTCAAAAGACATTTACATAAAATGTGAACATTGCTGGATTGATTCTTATCGATTAAGGCTGGTCAATAAATCAATAACAATATATTTGGCAGTGTATATAGCTAATACGTCTGTTAGAATGTTAAATATTCTATATATTGAATTATCTCTGAATGCTGATCCTGAACCGCACAGCATTCTGGGAGATGTAGGCAGAGGAAGGACTCTCCATTCAGCCTCTCACAGCCAGCTAAGCTAGGTCAGTGGAATCAACTAACTCACTCGCTCTTTGGTTACCCAGCAACTCTGTCCTTCTGTGGTTGCCTGGCAACAACCTGTTGAGAAACTGGCGCAGCAGCAGTTTTAAGTTCTGCCACTTTCCTTAAAAAAAAAAACACAACAGCGTGGAACGAAACTGTGAATAAAACAGAAAAGTTCACACCATCATTATTTCACATATTTAAAACAAAAAACTAATCAACAATTATTAATATCGACTGACATGAAAGGCTTACATCGTGACGTGTTTTTCAGCCGAATCAGTGCTTTGAATTCTGTGATGTCACAGGTAGAAGTGGTCTAGAAGAGGTAAATGTAAATGTTGTCACCTTTACCGTCGGTTTACACAATTAGGAGTTAAAATTCATGTTAAATCTTAGTTTGTTGCCTTTAAAATAGAGTAATGTGTTCAGTCAAGATTTTATTTTATACCTGTTGGTCTGTTAAAACAGTTTTGAGTTGCCCAGTAGATGTTGCTAAGTAATGGGCTGAGCTTCCCCGGGGTTGCTAGGAGACGGGCTTCTCCGGGGTTGCTAGGAGACGGGCTTCTCCGGGGTTGCTAGGAGACGGGCTTCCCCGGGGTTGCTAGGAGACGGGCCTATATTCGCTGACAGGTTTTTGAAACGGCTCGTTTTCCAAACACCAAAAAATGGCAAAAATGTTTAGTTTTTAGAAGCAGCAGAGACACAAATGGTGAACTTGTCTCAACTTAAACTCAAACATAGTTTTTGTTCAGTGCCTAATCCTGCTAAACTGCAACAAACCCATTAACCTGGAAGTGTCTAACTTGTTTTTTCCATTATATTTTTTATCCTTTGTAACAAATCCTAGGTGGTCATGATGTATTGTGGAGAAACTATGTTGGCTCGAGGTGAAGAACCCTTTCTGTCAGATATAAATTAGCTCTTTCATCATGAACAGATTATGTTTAGCGGAAAGCAGCCAAAGTGAAAAGTAGCTTTCTCATTGTTTTTCTTGCTATGCAGCTCTGAATTAAACAGCATGAGAATAGTTGTGTATTGTCCCCAACTGATTAATACATCTTGGAAAAACACAAAAGACAGCTTTCCAATTTTTTTTTTGTGCTCTTTTGGAAACCGCAGGACGTGCCTGAGTGCACATTCTCAAACAATTAGGAATGAGTAAAAGTTTCCTAATACACAAATTCAAAGCATTACGTGGAGCATGAAAGGCTGTTTGTCCTCGGAGACGCCTCATAAAGTGAGTCAGGCATGACTGGGAGGTTTGGAGCCCAGGATGCAATCACATCGGGGAGGATAAAGTTTCCATAAACAAGTTTCAGATCAGGTATGCAGCACCAGATCTATTGTAAAGAAGTGATATCAGAAGCAAATAGACAAACATGCAGGTAGATGTTCAGATAGACAGCTGCCCAACATATTAAATAGCATTAGCTGGAGTATTGTCTCATAACCTTTTACCCCCCAGGCCAGAGATGTTCCCTACAATGCATTATGGGATATGAGTGGTCACAAACAGATACAGCTTTATTCAACTGGCCTGAGGCGTTCTGTCCCGGATGGACCTATGTAATAACAGGCAGTGGCACAGCACACATCGACGAAACACAGGAAATATGTATCATGATTTATAAAACCTGAAGCTCACCATATGTGCACATCTCACAGAATTGCATCCAAAGCTCCATCTTGTTGTCAACGAGTTAGAAATCATCAATAAAAGTTTCAGAAACATCCAAAATATCTCAGCTGATGCGTGAATCCAAAAACTAGCATCAAAACTGTGACAGTTCATCTATGAAAAGGTCGATCTCCTCCACTTACTGCTGTGTGAAGAAATCCACCAATCACACGCAGTAGGCGGGGCTTTGTGCTATCAATCATCCTCATGAACACACTGCTAAATGTGCTAATGGAGGAGAAATGGGTTACACTTACAGAACTTTTTTTTTGCTCTAGTGGCCTTTATTTGACAGTAAATTGACAGGAAAGTGGGCAATTAAGAGACATGCAGCAAAGGTCGCAAGGCCAGGAATCAAACCTGCGACATCCGTGTCGAGGGCTAAGGCCTCCAGAGGTTGTGCGTAACGTCTGCGCCTCCTCTGCACCCCAGGAAAATTGTTTATTGACCATCACTAGTGGCTATGCTAACTAGCATTAGCATTTCCGAAAAGCTGTGCTGACAGGAAAAAGCTGTGTTGCAGCAGAGAGCGAGCAGCATGAACATGGGCTTGATTGACAGCACAAAGTCCCGCCTCCTCACTCTGATTGGTTGTTTCTAGTTGGCACTGGGAGACAGCAGAGGTGTTTGGGTTTTTTTTTTCACCAATTATCTGTCTTGTGTCAAACTGTCACGACTGTTTCAACAAATATGTAAAAGAATAATTTTTAGAAAAGTTAATTGAATACTGCTTTAAAAACCATGAGACACTTTAATAATTTTTAATTCAACACTAAAATGAGTATTGGTTTGGTTAGTATAAAAATTTGCATTTAAATTACAAAGTTTCTAATATCAATCCATTCTAAATATGTTATATTACCAAAGTAATTTCTGGGACAATTTATCCAGAAAAATGTGTTATTGTTCCTATATTTATTTTAAGCTCCATCCAAGCAGAAACTGTTGTCTTGGTTTTATCTGATCTCTGTTTGTAAGGTTTCTGTGAGGACAGCAGGGGATGTTTTCTGTTTCACAGAGCAGACATCTGCAGACGGCGGCGTTATCGCTGTGCATCACAAGGCGGGCATGAATAAACGAGAAGCCCGGTTCTGACTCACGCAGCCGGATCATTAAGGGGACCGATTAGACCCAAACCTTTTCAGTTTTACTCAGATTTGAATACTGTTTCAAATAAATTCATCCGGAGTCTTCTGAGAACAAAGATAAAAGTGTGATTCTCAGCAGAGCAGCAAAAAGCATGACACAGCTCGTCCCCCAGTGGGCTAATATGACTCAGCGCGTTGAGAGTTAAACCATCCACTCAGTCCCCAAACTGGTTTCACATCTAATTTTACTGTATGCTAATAAGACGTAGCTGCAATTACCAGAGGGAAGGGAGGAATGTGCTGTTTGTTACGTCAGGCTGAGAATCGGTAGAGCCAGAGATGAAGAGGGTTAAATTTGAGCTGAGTCACACAAAAACAACCGATTCAGTTGTTTTTTTCAGAAAGGAAAGTTACAGGGTTTTATGTCTCAGACCAACATTTCTGACTTTATCAGGAAAATGTTGACACTGATATTATGGAATCAGAGTGAAAGCGGCGGCTTCACACAGGAGTTATTATGGTATCTTTTTATTGTTTACAAGATAAAATCAAATAAAATAAAAAAACTCTTTCATATTGTTGGGAAAACTTTAAATATAATTAAATATGGTAACTGTGCAGTTTTTATATGACTGGTGTCCTACAGAAACTTTTTACAAATGCATTTGTTTTTCAGGAACATTGTTTGTTTCTGTCATGCAAAAAACAGTTACGGTTCTTTTGTTAAAAGAAGTTCTAAATAATTTTTACTTTTATTGTTATCATAATAGTATCACAAAATATTGTGATACAACTTTAAGTCCACCACTATCAGACCAACATTTCCAAACTTTATCAGATTATAAAAAATGCTAAATTGATATCAGGGGTGGAAATTTATCCTATTGTGTATTATTTTCTTATTATTTTTTTAAATTATTATTGTCACAATAAATTCCATTTGATTATATTTAAAGTATTCTGTCCTCCTTTCCTTCCTCTTGTCCGTCTTTCTATCTTTGCAGTTTTTTCTGTCTTTTTCCTTCCTTCTTTCCTTCCTCAGATGCATCCTTCTGTCAGTTCCTTTCACCTTCCAAGAATATTTTCTTTATTTTCTGCTTTTACTTCCTTCTTTAGTTTTTTTATTTCTTTCCTTTTTTTTCCACTTTGTCTTTCTGGTTTCATACCTTCTTTTTTGTCCTTCTTTCTCTTCCTTCTTTAGATGCTTCCTTCGGTTATTCCTTTCTTCCATGTTTCCTGCCTCCTTTTTCACTGTTGAAAAAGGAGGCCTTTTTCTGTTTTCACTTCCTTCTTTCCTTCCTTTGACCATCAATGTATATTTCCGTCTAGTTTTCTTTCCTTTTTGTTCCTTGTTTCCTTTTTTCCTTTTGTATTTCCATCTTTCCTTTTTTGTCCCTCTTTCTTTCCCTTTGTTACTTCCCTTCCTTCTTGCATCCTTCTTTGTCTCTTTCCATTTTTCTTTACTCTTTATCCCTTTCTTGTGTCCTTCCTTCATTCCATTCAGTTTCTTCTTTTTCCATCCTCATTGGTACAGTCTATTTTTCACAGCCCTTAAATTCATCCTAAACGAACGAGGCGCACTTTCTCACATTTTCCGCCTCCGTTCACCTTTGCGTCTCGCTCACACCGATGGCGGACACACAAAGCGGCCTTGACGTCAGACTCATCAACGGTTGCCATGTTGACAGCGGCGGTGTGATGTTTCTCATAGAACCTGTACCTGTGTGTGTGCTGCAGCGTGTGGA